GCGCCACCATGCCCAGCTAATTTTTTTGTAGTTTTAGTGGAGACGGGGTTTCACCATGTTGACCAGGATGGTCTCGATCTCTTGACCTCATGATCCACCCGCCTCGGCCTCCCAAAGTGCTGGGATTACAGGCTTGAGCCACCGTGCCCGGCCCCCATACTTGTGTTTTTTAAGTGTGCTTAGATTACAAAAATAATATATGCTTGTAAAATGGTACAAGTATCAGGTAAAAGTTTTCCAACATACTCTCCTTAGAGTACAAATATGCACCATTCTATGTATATCCATCCAGAACTTTCACAATGCATTTATATGTATATGTGTATGTAATAGAAAGGTTTGTGTTTTTACATTGATGTGTGTAAGCTAAACTTTTTGAGTACCTACCATGTGCCTCATTTCATCCCCATTTTACAAAAGATGAAACTAAAGCAAAGAAAGGTTAAGTACTTGCTGAAGTCACATCAGAGATAGTGATAGATGGAGTTGGATTTGAACCCAGGGACTTCGGTTTCAGAACCATGATTACTATCGTGCTTCGCCTGGAAGTGAAAAACAAATGCTTGAAGCTTTGCCTGTTGAGGGCTAATTGGTTGGCACATGACGAGAGAGTTGGGAAGAGGTTAGGAAAAGCTTGTGCTGGGCCTCTCCTCATGGGTCAATCTACCCTTGCCCCATGGTTATTTGGGGAGAAGCTATCATAAACAATCTGAAAGGTGGATGTGAGATCCAAGTCCAAAAAATGGTGAAAATAAAGGTAAAAGTTCCTAGTGGATGGAACAGGGTAGGAGGATACTGTATTCTAGAGCCACCTACAGGTGTGCCCACCAATGCTAAGACAGCCACTGACCTGTCCCTGCCCTCGGCCAAGGCTCCCACATGTGCTCTGAGCAGCCTGAGAACAACGAGGCCCCTTAAATGCCTGTGGTGCAAATTCCAGTAGAGGCAGTGTCCCAGGGAAAGACTTTAGTGCCAGAATAAAGAAAGGGAAGTCATATTTATTTATTAAGTGCATATTATATGCCAGGGACTTTGATTTTCTTTCTTTCTTTCTTTTTTATGTTTTTTTTTTTTGAGATGGAATCTCACTCTGTCACTCAGGCTGGGGTACAGTGGCACAATCTTAGCTCAGCCTCCCAAGTGGCTGGGATTACAAGTGTCTACACCACACCCTAATTTTTGTATTTTTAGTAGAGACAGGGTTTCACCATGTTGGCCAGGCTGGTCTCTAACTCCTGACCTCAAGTGATCTGCCTGCCTCGGCCTGCCAAGGTTCTGGGTTTATAGGTGTAAGCCACTGTGCCTGACCTGATTTTCAGTATGGTACCTGATCTTTACAAATGTTCTGTGAGGTAAATACTATTAACCCAATTTTACAGGCAGAGAGAATGAAGTTAATAGAGATTAAGTAACTTGCCTTCACGGGTAACTAAGCACTGGAATTATATCCAGGTTCCACTCCGGGATTCAAACTCTGGCTTCGTCCTATCCTTGGGGAGGTCTGTTATGAGGATAAGGTGAGATGGTACATGTGGGAGTGTTACATGAGCTGTGATGCTGGAAAACTCTTGTGAGGAGTCACAATGATAAAAATAACTGATGGTGGTCCCAGTCTGTGAAAGGGTGCATTTATTCTCTCCCCTACCCTGGGCTGTCCCAGGTTTTTTTTTATACTAACTTTTTCAACCATCCTGAGGTAGAAGGCCAGTGGAAGTTTACTTTCAGATACTTCTGCATTTCCTCTGCCTTTTCCGTGGTTTCTGTGTTCTCCCTTGAACCTGACCTGTTGATTATAGCTCCTGAGGTAGCCAGCCCACATGCAGAGTGAAATAACTCAACCACCTAAGTAAGACACAACAGGTACCTGGACAAGGTCATCTCTTGTCCTTCACCTTGAGAAGTTCCATCTTGGAGAGGGATGCTCTTGTGAACAGATGAACCACCGTTTGTTGTGGTGGGTGCTGTAGCTGAGGCGTGGACTGTTTTCAGGTGAGGTAAAGTCTGTGATGTAATCCCATCACCCATGTTCCTTCATCCTTCACCAAAGCCTTCCTGTAAGTGAGTCAGACCCTGACTGAGTCATGTTCTGGCAATGCACTCTCAGGTGAGCCAATTCATAGACTACTTTTTAAAAAAGTAATGGCAGAATACCTATAAGATAAAATTAAATCTCTTAACCATTTTAATCAATAATGTTAAGTGTGTTCACATTGTGGTGTAGCCAGTGTCTAGAACCTTTTCATCTTGTAAAATGGAAACTCGGTACCCATTAAACAGTAACTCTCCATCACCACCTCCCACCAGCAACCCCTGGCAACCACTATTCTACTTTCTGTTTCTATGAGTGAGTTCTCTAGATACCTCATGTGAATGAAATCACACAGCATTTATCTTTTTGTGTATGGGTACAGAGCTTCTGAAGAATAATTACTTATAAAGCACTTTAGGATACTTCTGGGAAAATAATAAACACTGAGAAGATTTTATCTATCAAAATATGATAGTATATGCACAAAAATATGGAATAATATAAATAAAGGGCTTATTTCACTTAGTATAACGTCCCCAAGGGACATCCATATCATATCCTGCAATTCGTAGACTTTAATGTGTGACCCCATTGACCTAAGAATTTCACTCTGAGGAATTGATCTAATGACATCAGTAGCTTAAATTAAAAATTCATTACTCTGTTGATAAGAGACAAAACATTTCAACATCTAGTTCCAATTAAAAAAAAATATTAAGAGTAATTAGAAATTGAAGCAGGCAACTTTTCAAAACCTATAGAGTACTTTATACTTTGTAGGGAAATCCTGAAGGATTTATCTTAAAATCATGCCCCCTCTTGCCATCGTCACTGAATTTAGTTCTGCATACACAGAAAAACCTACTAAGATGTGAAGCTGAAGAAAAGTGATAGTGGATAATACTTTTTAGGTACAAAAGGCCTAGAGAGTCACTTGTTCCATAAGGTGGTGGCCAAGTACACAGTTGATGTATAAAAACCAAAAATATTCCTGGGTAACAACATAAGCTACTGGTTTTCCCAAAGACTGATCTCAGATTTTGCCTGTGAGGTTTGGAGGAAAGTCTGCAGAGCCTTCAGTATCATCATTGCCATCATGTTTAGATTTGCCTTTGATTTAGTCTTCTCTCTCCTGCAAGCAGCAATGAGCCACAGCTGTGCCTGACCCGTGGTGTATATGAGCAGATTTGGCAGTGAAAAGTCGGTGTCCAGAGATGGTCAGGATGCAGGGAGACGGCTCACTCTCTCTGTTGACTCCAAGTGCCCCTAGGGCTCCAGACCAGAATCGCAGATTTTCAGGGGCAAGGAAATAGCTGTGACTTTATCTGTTTTCTCTTCCTGTCCTCTCACTTAACATCCTTTGAATGAATTAACACTGCCTAGGATCTAGTACATCTCTAAAGTATTTGGTTCATCTCATGAATTTGAAACAATTGGTATTCCTAGACTGACTTATGTTCATGTAGAAGATGCTCTCTTCTAAATAATTGCCTTTCTTCATTTTACAGTAAGAAAATCTTTATTTTCATTATAAAAATAATGGCAAAGTATTCAAACAACATAGAAAATGTATTAAAAGACAGCCCTACATATTCCCACCTCCTAGATTAGCCACTGTTTATCAC